TGAGAAGATAATTACCTGACCAGCCGCGTGGTTGAGAGGGTCAAGGGGGTATAACAGTCACGCAAATCCCGCAGAAGACCAAACCTCCAGGTCTGACACGACTGCGGGGTTCTCAAAGTCTGAAATCCTCATCAGGCCTTCACTCTACTCCTTCAACACCAAGCTATTCCATTTTAAATCTGTATTTTGACCTTTTGCAACCTTCCATCTTGTATCTGCATGTTGAGAATGATCACTGGACTAAAGACTGAAGTCATGGATTATTTTAAGACTGCTCACAGGCAAGGTGGGTGGAGACCTAGAACACAGCACAGAGCTGTAACTCCTGCAGCTCAGATCTGGGAGCCGAACCCCAGCCTGCATCAAGGGGATCTTCTGAGAGAAATTCCAGAACAAGCAGGCACACTGCTTGTTTGGTTTGGTTATCTACCTGCTCTCTGGGCCTGGGTCTTGGAAATGTAAAGAGCTACCTTGTTTATTACTATTGCTTTTAGAGGTTTTCCTTTCTTTTCCTCTTTTTTTAACCCCCATAAGGTACATGTGCTCACTGGAGAGAGGCAAAGGGAAAGTGAAAAATCATTCCTCGGGGAGATGGTCACGCCACAATCCCTTCGCTCCCATTCTTCTCTTGGGACTTTGGGCACGCACACACACACATGCCGGGCGTGATTTTCAGGCCACCAGGACTGGGACTTGGATAGCAGTCAGCCTAACCCCCATGTCACCTGCTGACCTCTGCTTTCAGAATCTTTAAGTATGCCATCAGATCATTTTCCTAAAGCTCATCAACAGCTATTTCTCAGCAAAGTGATCTGTCAAAGGATCAAGTTAACTTACTGACTCTTCTGTAAGAATCTGTTTCAGAATCAGAATGGGAAGGGAGCAGAAGGATTGTAGGAGGAATGTATGGCCAGAATGGAAGGAAAAAAGCAAACCTATAAGGGAGGCTGGGAGGTGGTGTGGTGGTTGAGACGCTAGACTTCCACATGGCCAACAATGGTTCAAGTCCTGAACCAGAAGCTTGTTTTCTCACTTTCTCTCTCTTTCTCACTCTCTCTCTGTGTCTCCCTCCCTGAATTAAAAACAAAACAAAACAAACCCACAATAGTAATAATTTTTTAAAAATAAAAAGAAAAGAAACCAGTAAGGAAAATATCAACCCAATTTCTGGGAGTGAAATAAATGGCTAACAGAAAAACCCCACTCATGGGATCCTTTCTGGGGCGTAGCTGCTTGGTGACAGGTTGTAATGCAGTGCAACTTTCTAAATGCTGGCTTCACAGGAAGTATGAAGGAAATTCTGAGATTCCATATCACCATATCCCCTGCCACTGGACAGATGCAGCAGAAAACCAAACTTCTGGCATTTTCTCTTCTCTCTCTCTCTCTTGTTTTTAAGAGGTTTTTGCTATAGGGCACGTGTACTTGCCAGAGTGAGAGAGACTGACACAGTGAGAAAGAAAGTGAGAAATCACCCCCTAGGCGGGGATGGCCATGCTGCAATCCCTTCTCTAGTCTCCTCTTGGAATCTTTAATCTTGAGTACACATGCACATGTGCCCAGAGTGAGTTTCAAGCCACTGGGTCCAGGACTCGAACCGCGGTCAGCCATGTGGGAGTCTAGTGATGTAACTACTATGCAATCTGCTGGCCTCCTTCTTTTTTGAGAGGTTTTTGCTATAGGGTGCGTATGCTCACCAGACAGACAGAGACAGAAAGCGAGGAATCACCCATGAGGGGGGAGGGCCACACCACAATCCTTTCTCCTCCATTCTCCTCTCTGGATCTTGGGTGCATATGTGCCTGGCGTGAGGTTAAGCCACTGAGTCCAGGACTCAAACCGCGTTCAACTACATGGGAGTCCAGTGACATAGCCATTACACCAACTGCTGGTCCCCCTTTTTATAAGCTTATTTCTTTCATGAGATAGAGAGACAGAGACAGAGAGAGAGAGACAAAAGAGACAGTTACCTGCCACTCAACCAGCCTGGAACTCGGGCATGCGTATACCCAGTGGCTCAGGGAGGTTCCAGGACACGAACCTAGGACCTTTCCCACATGGGTCCAGTTGTGCCACTCCCTAGCCTGATCACAGGCATTTTCTAAAAATAAACCTGCAGCAGGCCCAGGAAGAAAACTGCTGAAAATGACAGCTCTGTGCCCACCAGGCCTCCTGGGCAGCCATGCTGCTGCTTTGAAATGGCCAATCCTGCACATGAGATTTTCGAACACTTTAATTCCTGAGGGGTTTTATAGTGGTACAAAGGGAACCTGGCAACCTGAGTTCACTCCTTCTAGTATTAATGTGACTTTAAATGAGTAGCTATTGCTACCTAGTGATTATTCTGCTTAATAGGTTTTTTTTTTTGTTGTTGTTGTTGTTGTTGTTGTTTAAGTTTATTTCTTTCATGAGCAAAAGAGAGAGAAAACATCCCCACCAGGATCCTGATGCCATAGTCCGCTAGCTTGAGCTGGCCCTGCGTCAGGGCCACACCCGCGATGTGCTCAGGAGTGTCCTGGAGAGCAAACTGCACGAATCAGCTTCACAGAGCACTGTTTGACTGCCGTGTGCCCTCTGCTTCCTCTCCTGCTTTAAGACAAGTTAGCTTCCCATGTAACTCAGAGAAACATGCCTCCCCATCTCCCAACCTTAGCACACAATCCTAAGGAACCGTTCAGAGCATGCATAATTAGTGGGGACTGCTCCCTCCCTACACTTCCTGTCCGGGAAAGGAATAACAGAATAGAGAGAATGCTTAGCTGGAATTAAATGTGAGTCTTAGGTAAAAACATCAATACACTCTACTTATTAGAGCCTCAATTTTGTCAACCAGGTGGAAAATAATCCTTTTTCCTGTCTTCCATTGGTCCTGTAGGACTGTCTATGGCATACACCTACTCATGCACACTTCATGTGGCTCATAAAAGTAGGAAAAGGCAGACAAGGGCAAGACAGCATGAATTTAAAATGAGTAAAAAGGGGGAAAGAAAGGGAGTACATATTAAGGAAAGTGGCATGGAGCCTGTGGTAAGTTTCTTACAAAAAGGCTCACACAAAATCGTATATACTTGCTAGAGATAAGCCATATCTTTGGCTCTAAGTTTTCTAAGAGGCAACAAAGAGGGAAAATAATCAATGACAAAATATGGCAACTATGATATAAAAGCAAAGAGCTGCTTAGAAAAAAAAAATTATTCTTGAAATAAAGACCAAAGAGGGCCAGCTTCATGGCAGTGCTAATGTGCTAGTGAGATCCACATGGCGACCACAGTTCAAATCCCTGGTCTGGTCAGCCAGAATGGAACATGCTGGACACCAAGCACAAGGGTCCAAGATCTGGTCGGTTGGAGGACTAGAGTAAGGGGATGATGGCGTGACCAGGCCCTGTGGGCGGCGTTCCTCCCACTCCACTCTCAGGTGTGTGTGCGTGCACTTAGTCAGAATAAAGGAAAAAAAAAAAATCAAAGACCAAAGAGAACATTTTTATGAGCATTTCTTCTTGAAGGACTAACATAACAAATCATATCTGTGAAGTAAACGCAGAAACTGATGTCATGGTCCTAGCATGCTACGTAACACGCTAACCGTTAATGCTGTTACTAGTGTTAGAAGACGGGGCCAGCAGATGGCATGGTGGTTAAGGTACTAGACACTCCCACATGACTGACCTCGGGTCAAGGCCTGGACCTGGTGGCTTGCTTTCTCACCCCCCCCATCTCCTTTTTCTCCCCCCCCATCTCTCTCTCTCTGGTCAAATTAAAAAAAATGAATAAATAAATAAAATTAAATAAGTCTTAAAAAAAAAAAAAAAGAAGAAGAAGAAGATAGCCAGGAAGCTACATCGCCTACCTGTCCTGTCTCTGTTTTCTCACTACACCACTTCCCCAGATCAATGAGACACTTATCCTGGAGGGCAGGATCCAGCTTAACGTCCATGGCACGCTGGTGTAGGATCCTCTGGACTTCGGCTCGGCACTCCCGTGAGAGCTACATGAAAAAGCAAGAACAGAATGTCGGTGACCTTTGAGCACGGCGGGGGCTGGGGTGCCACTTCCAACACAGAGGGAAATGTGTACATAACTTCTGACTCCCCAAAAGCTTAACTGGAGATAGTTTACTGTTGATCAGAAGTTACTGACAACAGGGGCATGGTGGCGCCTGCCCTATGGCAAAAAACTATGGAGACTGGAGGATTGCGGCATCGAGTCCATCTCACACTCTCTGTCTCTCTCGGTGAGTGTACAACTTTTGGGGACCAGCAGTTAGCATAATGGCTATGTCGCTGGACTCCCATGTAGTTGACCGCGGTTCAAGTCCTGGACCCGGCCGCTTAAACTCACGCCGGGTGCGTGTGCATGCGTGCCCAAGATCCCGAGGGGAGAATGGAGGAGAAGGGATTGCGGCATGACCATCCCCCCGGGGGGTGATTTCTAGCTTTCTCTCTCTCTGTCTCTGTCTTTCTGGCAAGCGCACGCGCCCTCTAGCAAAAACCTCTCTCAAAAAAAAAAAAAAAGAAGTTACTGACAGCACAGTCAAATCACATATATTTTGTATGTTATATGTATAGTATTGTATTCTTACAATAAAATAAGCTAGTGAGAAGAAAATTTTATTAAGAAAGTCATAAAAAAACATTTATTTAAAAAATCTGTACATAAGTGGACTCGCACAGTTCAAATGTGTTGTTCAAGTCGACTGCACTTTAAAGGCAACATGAAGATACTGACAGAGCAATCTTGTCAGAAAACTAACCAATAACTCTACAGGTTATCTCCTAAGTTTTATACCTCAAATCACTTCCAAGTAAGAATGATGTGTTCTAGGCTTCTAAAAGCCCCTACCTCTAGGAATTTAATTAAACATTCAGCATTTCCTAATACACGAATCAATATCCTTTTCTGACAACAAACAGATAAGAGTGAATTAGATTCATTCAAGTCAGGTTAGAAAGTTTTTTTGCTTGTTTGTTTAGCAAAATAATGTGCTGCTCTATCGCTCTAGAGTAGAATGGCAGATATAATGCAGGAGAGAACACGTGCTTGGTTCCACTACCACTGTTTTAATTATAGCATCAGCTTACCTTCCCAAAGCATATCAGACCTGAGTTCAAACTGACTTAAATCAGAACAAGCAGACAACTGCAGAAGTGACGGCTACTACAGATGAGGACAAGACTCTTCTAGATGAGTTATGTTTAATTAGCAGAAGGTGAAGCAGATGAAAACTAGTATTTTTAGAAGGGTCCTGGGAATGCTGTCACTGAAAGGCATGGTCTAAAGAGACTCTGATAAAAGCCAATTTAGGCCCAGACAAGTGGACACAGTGGTTAAGGCGGCTAGATCCCACATCGCCCAGTTTGAGTCCTGGGCGTCATGGCTTGGGAAACGTGTGTGTGTGTTCATGCCCAAAATCCCCAAAGGGAGAAGAAATGGAGAAGGGTTTGTGGTGTGACTGCTACCCATGGGGGTGCTTTCTCACCTCCACAACCCCTGCAAGTGAATGTGCCTGCCGGGGCGGAGGGCGGGGCAGACAGAGAGAAAAGCCAACACACCTTGGGTGGGTAAGACAGTAACGAGCACAGGGTTCCTTTTAGTCATGGAACATTCGAAACTAGAGGTGGTGGCTATGCAACACTGGGAATATATTAAATACCACTGAAATTAACTTTACCTGGTATGAATTTCACCTTGATTTTTAGAAAGTGTACTTTTTTAAAAAAAGTTAACAAGATTCCAATCTTTTCTTCATTTATAAGAGAAAGATCTCCGACTATAGTGACTCACAAGATGCCAGGATTTGGGAGCCCCTGAGCTAACGAGAGCCTCCTTCTATGGGGAAAAATGTAGCAATACATTCCTATGTTTTCCTAGAAAGTGGGAAAAAAATTGGACTAGGATTATAGCAACTGAAGTTTCTTTCTATTTGAGCTTCCTCATTCTTGTCCTAGCTGATGTGACTTTATATGAGGCTTGGGAGGAATATTTGGGGACCAGCAGTTAGCATAATGGCTATGTCGCTGGACTCCCACATAGTCGACCGCGGTTCAAGTTCTGGACCCGGTGGCTTAAACTCACGCTCAGCACGTGTGCGTGTGTGCCCAAGATCCCGAGAGGAGAACGGAGGAGAAGGGATTGCGGCGTGGCCATCCCCCCTGGGGGGTGATTTCTCGCTTTCTATCTCTCTGTCTCTCTCTGTCTGTCTGGTGAGCACATGCACTCTATAGCAAAAACCTCTCCAAAAAAAAAATAATAATAATAATAAAATTTAAAAAAGGGATATTTGTAAATGTGCATAAAACAATATCTGCTTTCTATAACAAAAGCAGAATGTACACACAGCAAAGGCAAGGAAAGGCCATTTTGGAGAGCAATGGCATACTAGCATGGTACCAGAGGCGGCTGATGATGGGGCCGGCAGGTGGCGTGGTAGTTAAGGGTGCTGGCCTCCCACATGGCTGACTGCGGTTCAAGTCTCGGACCTGGCGGGTTTCTTTTTCCCTTTTCCTTTGTCTCTCTGGTCAAATGAAATACATAGATAAAGTTAAATAAAATAATTCTTTAAAAAGGAAAAAGAAAATGCGGCGGTTGATGTTACCCAAGAGCCACGCACACTCAAATATTCCAAAAACAGGAATATTTGGCTGCCAAGGACAGAAGAACCACCATATCCCGGCTAAAAACTTCTGCTGGATCTTTACAGCAAAATAACGCTAAGGCAACAGAATATAACTGTCCATTTGTGATTCAGATTTCAGCAATTTTAAGAAAAAACCCTAGAAATCTTCCCACCACTCATTTTATTAAAAATATTAACTCAGATGGAAAAAAGCTGACAGAACAACTCAAGGTACATTGACTGAATGAAGATGTTTTTAGTAGTGCAAACTCCTCCCCAAAGATACTAAAATGGGTTCCTAGGACAACAGAAATCAGAACCACATGCAGCAAACCATTAAAAATAATCAACGACAGTAGGAAGAAATGAAGCCAAGGCTGACTGCGTACCCGCCTTCCCTGCTCCTCGGTGCGGTAGGCATGCCTGTATAAGCAAGAGAACACGGCCCCGGGTGGCATGAGTTCACTGGTCTCATTCCAACCATGGGTGTGGCAAAGGCGAGAAGCATCTCCTTGGCACTTCCGGTATAAGACAGGGTCCAGCCTAAAAGAAGAAAAGTTAGAGTAATCATTACTCACCATGCATTCCCTTTTAACACGTGCTGAGAGATTTTACAGGGTGCTCGTTGATAACTGATAGTCACCACGAAGAAAAGCAACAGAATATTCCTGCATTTTGTTCTTAATGAATCCACATCAGTCAACCTGTAGAAGTTTAACCTCCCTACAGAAGAACAAATTCTACCTCAGAGATGTTATCTTGGTTTCTTTTTCTTTTAAATTTTATTTATTCATTCATTTATTTACTTAAAATTGACCAGAGAGGGACAGAGCAAGAGAGAGAGAGAGAAAGTGAGCAGGTTCAGGACTCAAACCATGGTCAACCATGTGGGAGTCCAGGGCCCTTAACCACCATACCACCTGCTGGCCCCTTGGCTATGAAATTTCTTTTTCTTTCTTTTTTTAAAGAATTATTCTTTTTAAACTTTATTTATTTATTTAAATTTGACCAGAGAGAGACAGAGCGAGAGAGAGAAGGAAAGTGAGAAGGCAAGCTGCCAGGTCTGGGACTCAAACTGCAATCGGCCATGTGGGAGTCCAGCTTTCTTAACCATGCCACCTGCTGGCCTAAGGCTATGAAATTTCTAACATTACAGTAAGTTTTAGCACTCACATGCCCTAGTGGAAAATAGAAAACAAGAGTTGAAGCCCCATGGGGCAATACTAACATTTGTTTTATTTATTTTTTTTTAGGTTTTTAGCATAGAGCGCATGCACTTGCCAGAGAAAGACAGAGAGAGGGAAAGCGAGAAATCACCTCTGAGTGGGGATAGCTACACTGCAATGCCTTCTCCTGAGATTTTGGGCATGCATCTGGTGTGATTTTCAAGCTTCCGGGTCCTGAACTCGAACTGCAGTAGGCAATGTGAGAGTCCAGCACTTTAACCACTATACCACCTGCTGCCCCTAGAGATTAGTATTTAATGAGTAATTTTGGGGCCAGCAGGTGGCATGATGGTTAAGGGCACTGGGCTCTCACATGGCTGACCGTAGTTTGAGTCCCAGACCTAGAGGCTTGCTTTCTCACTTTCCCTCTCTCTTTCTCTGAAAATATTAACATAATAATAATATATAAAGTTAAAATTCGTTAAAATATATAATGAGTAATTTTTTAAGACTATGAAGCACTTTTTTGATTACAGGGGAAGGAATTAACGAGATAAACCATGATTCTGATTAAGGTGGCACACTAAGTAAACGCTTTGCTGCTGTTTCAGTTCAGATGGTTGCTGTGAACACAGGGAAGTTACCACCCAGCTTTCTGTAGACCTTTCCAGAGCTATTTTAAAGGACAAAAATAAAAACACATCAATCTTTAATGTCTTTCTAGTAGAGGAGATGGATGAAACATATATTAAACACTAGTAAAAGTTAACAATCACAATACAGTGGCTTCAACAACCAAACTGGGAAACAGTTGAAGCCAAGAAGCAGGAAAAGCAGCTAGATCCAGGACTGGCTGCTTCGAAGGTGGGGATAGAAAACAGGACATGGAGGTGAGGGGCTGCAGCCGGTAAACTACAGCAACTCTAGGGACCAGCAGGTGGCGTGGTGGTTAGGGCGCTGGACACTCCCACATAGCTGACCATGATTCCAGTCCTGAACCTGGTGGCTTGCTCTCTCTCTCTCTCTGGTCAAATAAATAAATAAATTTTAAAAATTGAATAGTTCCTAAAAACAAAACAAAACAAAAAGAACTATAGCAACTCTGACTGTAAAACAGAGCCTGTTTCTATTTCATCTTCTCCATCTTTTTTTTTTTTTTTTGCTAACAAGATAAAAATGGAATTAGAGAATCAGTTGTCATGTAATGTTTAGAACCTCTTAAGATAAATTCAATAACTTTGAATAGTTAAAGAAATAAAAGCAAATTCCTATACCCAGTGCAAATCAATAAAGATACAAGTGCATTATTATCTTCTTAGTGTTATTTGAAGATGCTTTTGCTGCCCCACAGGTGCCAGCGTTCTTTCTAGATAGATGTTTGTGGTATCAGAAACATTTGACCCTGACTTCCGAAGTAGTGGTGAACAGGGATGGTACAGACCGGCAGTGGGCTGACTCTTTTCAGACACTGCTCTGAAAGCAATAAACAACAGTGTTTTCAGGGGACTGGTGGATGTTAGCTATTCTAGAACTTAACAGAAATCATCTCTTAATCATTATTTCAAAATATACAGCTGAGAATGATTACATAGGAGAACAGGCTGAGGTAACACTTTTTGGCTTCAAAATACTTACTTCCAATCTCGAGAGATGAAATACTGCAGCTCTAAGAGACGGTGCTCACAGTCTTCCACCATTTTCTCTGTGTATAAGTGTTCCATTAGGCAGGAGAGGATCCTGGTCATAAAATGGGTGAAATTGTAATAAGAGTGAATGTTCTGGTGATAGAGTCAGAACTCTTCTGTTAATATATTTCCTCAATTCTGTAAAAATAGTCCTTTAGCTATTGTCTTAGGGTAATTCAGTTTATTTTGCTGAGAGTCACTCAAATGAATTGAACCTGACAGTGATTACGCTTTACACCAACTTCAGAGTCACTTACCACTCAACATGCGCCAGATGTGTGTGGAGCTGCTTTACTTTGAAATGTTTAGTATAGGAAATTTCCAATACATCCAAAAGCAGAGAATCATGTAATAGTCCCCTTCCTTCCCGTAACGTTACCAGTCTGTCTATAGCCATGTCTGTTTTAGCCCCATACCCATTTGCTGATACTCTGAAGCAAACCCCAGACACAACATTTCATTCATAAAATGTCAGTATATTTCTCTAAAATATGAGAACATAATGCCATTATCACACCAAGAAGTTAATCAGAAATTCTTAATATCACGTAATATTCTGCTAATTTTCCAATTTTTTGAATTATCTCTCTCCTTTTACATATTTGTTCAAATCAGGACTCAAGAAAAGGTCCACATAGTGCATTTACCTGGTAAGTAGTATGTTTTGTTTTTAAAGAATCATTTTATTTAATTTTATTCAGCATCATCATTATTACTTTAAATTTGACCAGAGAGAGACAAAGAGAGAGAGAAAGCGAGAAAGCAAACTGCCAGATCTGGGACTCGAACCACGATCGGCCATTGGGAGTCGAGCATGCCTTGACAACCATGCTATCTGCCAACTCCAATAAGTAGTACCTTTAATCTATTTTATTTGTAATTTTATTATTATTATTTTTTTTTGGAGAGGTTTTTGCTATAGGGCATGTGCGCTCACCACAAAGAGAGAGAGAGAGACAGAGAGACAGAAAGTGAGAAATCACCCCCCAGGGGGGATGGCCACACCGCAATCCCTTCTCCTCCATTCTCCTCTTGGGATCTTGGGCACGCACCCACATGCACTCGGCATGAGTTTAAGCCACCGTGTCCAGGACTCGAACTGCGGTCAATTACATGGGAGTCCAGCGACATAGCTATTATGCTAACTGCTGGTCCCAGTAAATATTCTTACTTGGTCTTAAGTGTGTTTCTCTATCTCCTCCAACCATACTAAAGGCTTAATGAATATCATTTTTTAATCCCCTTCCACAGAATGAACAGTAGGAGTTTTTGTACAGCAGAACAATGCACTACATTCATTTTACTGTTGGGTTCTGCTAGCTGTAGGCTATAAAGATTTTTGCAGGCTGGAAATCTGTTCTTACTTGCAACCTGGTTTTAAGAGCTGTTTATCACATTATATGGAATAAAACCAATGCATGATAATTAAATACTTGATTACAACACTTATTCAACTTTTCTAGACTATGGGTACAACTCCAGTATTCATTTTGTCCATGACTACCACCTTCAACTACCATGTTTTCTTGTTTTTTATTGAGAGAGAGTTTTGCTATAGGGCATATATGCTCGCTGAAGAGACAGAGAGAGACAGACAGAAAGTGAGAAAACATCCCCCAGGGGGGATGGCCACACTGCAATCCCTTCTCCTCCATTCTCCTCTTGAGATTTTGGGCACGCGCACACACACGTGCCTGACATGAGTTTTAAGCCGCTGGGTCTGGGACTTGAACCGCGGTCGACTACGTGGGAGTCCAGCAACGTAACCATTACACCATCTGCTGGTCCCTCATGTTTTATTTATTTATTTATTTATTTTTTGGAGAGGTTTTTTGCTATAGGGTGCGTGCGCTCGCCAGACAGACAGAGAGAGACATAGAGACAGAAAGCGAGAAATCACCCCCCGGGGGGATGGTCACGCCGCAATCCCTTCTCCTCCATTCTCCTCTCGGGATCTTGGGCACGCACGCACACGCGCTGAGAGTGAGTTTATGCCACCGGGTCCGGGACGCGAACCGCAGTCGACTACGTGGGAGTCCAGCGACATAGCCACTACGCTAACTGCTGGTTCTCTATTTTCTTTTTCAATTATAACAATTAACTATTTTCTTATGGTGACTAAGTAGTCAATATACACAATGAATCAATACACAAATGGAGGAAAAGTACAAACAGCAAAGTATGTGTTCCTTCATCCCAAGCGATTTTCTCTCTCGTTTGGATTCAACCATTACATGAGATTATTCAATGATCTAACGTCTAGACCAACATATACTCAGTAACTGTTAACAAACGATGCTGGGTCGAGGTATCCCTACATGACGAATGAGCCAGATCCAACGTCTCAACTGCGATGTTAGCATTGGTATATGCTCCTGATCAACAACATTTCAGTTAAGACGGTTAAACGACCCATACGTCATCTGAGTTGCCAACTAAAATACAATATAGATGAATACCATAAATAGGATAACCTACATTGGGTCTCCGGATCGTATGTGTTTGCAGGCCGTCTGGATAACAGATTCACAAGCTTCATTCAAAGCCCGGTCAATGCGGTAATCTGCACCAGGGTCAGTCTCCTGAATCAGTGTTTGAAGCTAGATTTTTAAAAAATTAAGAAGGAAGAAAGTCAGTCAGTCACTTAGGCACAGGAAAGAGTAGTGTCATCTCTTCCTACAATCAGCGCAGTCTACCGTACCAAGGGCACTCTGATGAGGTGTTCTAGAATCGTCATCAACCAAGCTCTGGAGTCCTTGCCACGTGCTTTCCAGCTGAGGTCTACCTTGATTGCAAGATTTTTTGTTGAAGTCGTTGTGGGGATTGCCTATCTACCCATTCTGAACCATTCCTAGACATGTGCAAAATAATAGGTCTTCCCAACACGAACACGAAGGCTGCCACTTTCCTCTTATCTGCCTACTTGAAAGTCAGGTTACTAAACCTATACTCAGGGTCAAGTCAGAACTGAGTGGAGCAGAGCAAAGACATTTCCAGTTAGAGATTTAATTTGGTCATAAGAAAAATTTGAATTTTGATGCAAAGACATTGGTATTAAAACAAGTGAACTCTGCTTTGTTAAAAGCCATGAGATTTAATTTAACTTGCAGAAATATCAATTACAAAAAAGGATTACGTTATCTATAATTCTTATTTTTACTACTATTTTCATATAATAAGAGGTAAGCTAGAGTTTTTGCTCATAAATATACAGAAAAACACCTGTCATTATATGGCTGGAAAGGAGAATGTATTGTTTTAAAAGTATATTTATTTATTTTCAAATTTTGCCAGAGGTTGTGTGTGCTTACCAGAGAGAGACAGAGACAGACAGAGAGAAATTGAGAGGAACCTCTTGTGATTAATTATAGACTGAAAGTGGAAGAGATCTTAATTCTCTTTTCCATTTTATAAGTTGGTGGATGAAAAACCCAAAATGCTGGACACTAAAGAGATATAAACCTGAAGCCAAGAAGGCTGATGCCAGTGGTAAGGTTAAAAGGGTGACCCTAGGCCAGCAGGTAGCATGATAGTTAAGGCACTGGACTCCCACATGGCTGACCACAGTTTGAGTCCCATTCCCAGTAGCTTAAAACTCATGCCAGGCATGTGTGCATGCACACCTAAAATCCTGAGAGAAGAAGGGACTGTGACACGGCCACCTCCTCAGGGGGTGGGGGAGCTGTGTGTGTGTGATTTCCTACTTCCCCACTCTCTGTTTCTCTTCAGCAAGTGTAATGTCCTATGGCAAAAACATTAAAAAAAGGTGTGTGTGTCGGGGGGTGGGGGGGACGGGACCCCAAGGCTAAAAAAGGCCAAGAAAGAGAAGTCTCATTGCTGCCAAAACTTGGTCCCACTCCAGGAAATTGACAGGACTCCCAATATGCCAGGAATTGCAGAAAGGCCATGTACAAGAGCAAATATTCAGCCACTAAATCCAGGCTTGAAAAGAGAAAG